CCACCACAAAAAGAGCTGCTATGAATATTTTTGTACATGTGGGTCCTTTTCCCATTTGTGTGATCTGTTTGGGATACAGCCCTAGAAGTGCTATTGCTGGGTCAAAGGGTATGCACATTTTTATAGCCCTTTGGGCATAGTTCCAAATTGCTCTCCAAAATGGTTGTATCATTTCACAGCTCTACCAACAATGCATTAGTGTTCCAATTTTCCCACATCTTCTCCAACGTTTATTGTCCTGTTTTGTCATGTTGGCCAATCTGATAGGTGTGATGTGGTGCCTCAGAGTCATTTTGATTTGCACTTCTCTAATCAATAGTGATTTAGAGCATTTTTTCATATGACTATAGATGGCTTTAACTTCTTCATCGGAGAACTGCCTGTTCATATCCTTTGACCATTTATCAATTGGGGAATGACTTGGATTCTTATAAATTTGACTTAATTCTCTATATATTTTAGAAATGAGGCCCTTATCAGAGACAGTGGTTGTAAAAATTCCCAATTTTCTACCTTCCTTCTAATCTTGGTTGCATTGGTTTTGTTTGTGCAAAAACTTTTCAATTTAACGTAATCAAAGTTACCCGTTTTGCTTTTCTTAATGTTCTCTATCTCCTGTTTGGTCATGAATTCTTCTGTTCTCCATAGATCTGATAGGTAAACTATTCCTTGCTCTCCCATTTTGCTTATAGTATCAGCCTTTATATCTAAATCGTGTACCCATTTTGACTTTATTTTGATATATGGTGTGAGATTTTGGTCTATGCCTAGTTTCTGCCATACTCTTCCAGTTTTCCCAGCAATTTTTTTTCAAAGAGTAGGTTCTTATCCCAGAAGCTGAGATCTTTGGGTTTATCAAATAATAGATTACTATAGTCATTGACTACTGTGTCTTGCATACTTACCCTATTCCACTGATCCACCACTCTGTTTCTTAGCCAGTACTAAGCAGTTTTGGTGATTGCTGCTTTATAATACAATTTAAGATCTGGAATGGTTAGGCCACCTTCCCCTGCATTTCTTTTCATTAGTTCCCTTGATATTCTGGACCTTTTATTATTCCAAATGAATCTCATTATTATTTTTTCTAACTCTATAAAATAATTTTTTGGTAGTTTGATTGGTGTGGCACTGAATAAGTGAATTAACTTAGGTAGAATTGTCATTTTTATTATATTAGCTCGGCCTACCCATGAGCAACTGATGTTTTTCCAGTTATTTAGATCTGACTTTATTGGTGTGAAAAGTGTTTTGTAATTCTCACTCTCTTTTAAAGGGTAAGTCGGGGACAGCTGGGTGGCACAGCGGATAGAGCACCAGCCCTGGAGACAGGAGGACCTGAGTTCAGATTGGGCCTCAAACACATAATACTCACTAGCTGTGTGTCTCTGGGCAAGTCACTTAACCCCAATTGCTTCACACACAAAAATAATAATAATAATAAAGGGTAAATCGGAGCACAGAATTGCAGGAGACCCCAGAAGACATCTGGCCCAACTTTAGGGATCCCTTCTGCCACTTCCCCAGCCCCCCAGACTCCGCTTGAAGACTTGTAGCCACGGGGAGCTCACTACCTCACAAGGGCAGCTCGGATTGTCCCACGGTGACGTGTTCCTTGGAGCTGTGGGCCTCTCTGGCGCATAGAACTCACAGGAATGCACCGAATATTAGTGTCTGTGGCTTGTCCTGTGCCCTGCGCTGACAGTCATCAAGGCAATGCCCCGGCCTCCTGCCTGGCGCTTAGCGTCTGTTGACAGCTGTAGAAAAAGGAGGTTAAGCCTTAGAGGGGGAAGGAAGGGGAGCCCCGGAGTGTTCCAGGCAGCCGGTGAAGGAGGTGTCAGGTGGTCTCTACCTTCCACTCCAATTTTGCTAAAAACCCTCCAGAGATAGTTTGGGAAGAAAATTCCATCCTGGCCAATCCAGGGGAGCAGAATGCCAGTGCCCAGTGGCAGGTGCGCTTTCTGGTCACTGCAGAGTGGCCTTTGCCATGCCATGTCCATTGGAGGGGGCACGATGAGCCAGGGTCTAGGTGCTGAGCTTGGACTCTAGGACCTGGGTTCTAATCTAGCTTCTGACACTTTCCGTGTGACCTTGGGCAAGGTGATGGGGCTCTCCTTTGGATAATGAGAGGGGACCTCAAAGGGCCCTTCCGTCTGTAACCCCCGGGGTCACAGGCTCAGCCTTGCAGAGTGAAGCAGGGAAGGCAGGGCCCTGGGGAGACTGAGTCATGTAGTCCCAAAGTTTGGGTGCCTGTGAGTCCCTGAGGCTGTTGCGGGGCTGACCGTGGCAAGAGAGCCTCACCTCGCGGACCAGTCACATGGGACCTCACCTATAAAATGGGACCAAAGTATTGGCAGTACTTCCTTGCATGGTTTTAGGGAAGGAACGCTTTGTACGCAGTGACGCGTAAATGTGTGCGGTCGCTAAGCGTCCTGTGATTTATATCTCCCACCCCTCCGCCTGCCAAAAGAAAAGGAGATGAGGAATGTGTTGTTCAGTCATTCTTCTGTCGTGTCTGACTCTCCGTGACCCCATTTGGAGTTGTCTCGGCAAAGACACTGGAGCGCATGTGACAGATGAGGAAACTGAGGCAGCGGGGCGAAGTGACCCGGCCAGGGTCACACAGCTAGGAGGTGCCTGAGGCCGGGTGAGGCTTCCAGACTCCAGGCCAGCCTGTATCCTTGCACCACCCGCTGCCCCTCAGGAACTTGTAATTGCCCCTGTTTCATGCCTCCGCTTCCGGCTCTGCTGGGCTCTGACCTCTCCCCTAGCCAGAACTCTGGCCAGATCTGGCCCTCCACCCCGGGCCTCTCCCCATCAGTAGCACTTCCCCCTCTGGCAGGCCGGGTCTCTGGGGGTCCCGCAAGCGCATTGGGCATTTTGGAGATCCCAGCCTGGGTAAAGCGCTTGGGCCGAGATAAAAATCATTGTGGAAACCCAGCCAGCCTCCTGCCGCCCTCCGTAGCGTAGGCATTTGATAATTATTAGCTTGAATCAGCGGCCCCTCCCTCTGTGCCTGTAAGGGGGGAGGGTGGAAGGTGGAAGGTGGGGCACCCCGACCCAAGGTCAGGAGGTGCATCTCAGCCCAAGTCTTAGGGAGCGCTCTGGGGATGAGGTTGGGCCCGGGGTAGATGGCTGAAACAGGAGAGGAATGAATGGCCCCGGAATGGAGGAGCTAAGAGCCAGTGGTTTAGAGGGGGGGCCAGTCACCAGACTTCCCACATGGGGGGAGAAGGGAGCGGGCAGTCAGCCAGTCCTTCCTGGGAGCTCGGAGCTCTAAGTGTCTGAGGCCAGATTTGAACCCATGAGGAGGAGGAGTCTTCTGAGTCCAGGCCTGGTTCTCTGCCATTGCAGTACCACTTAACGTGGATGGTGGGAAGGAGTGCGGAGGAGGGGCACTAGGAAACGGATAGATTTCCTGTTTGGTCCGGGGCTGGTGGCTGTGCCAAGAAGCATTTCCTTCCTCGCTCCTTCTCTGGGACCACCTCCTAGAACACAGCCCAGGACTCTGTCCTCTAAAACATCCGGGGCAGAATGTGGGCCAGTCCAGTCAAGAATCCCCAAGAATCCCAGCGTCTTCTGAGATTCCCCTTGTTGGCAGCCTCTCTGTGGGTCACATTCTGAGTATCCTGAGTTAGAAGGGACCTGGTGGGTTTGAATCCCACTGAAGGAGAAAAGTACTAGACTTGAGACCCAGCCTCAGTTTCCTCATCTGTAAATGGGGCTGACCCTGCTTGGAGTCCTTAGTAGTTCACAGGGTCATCATCTGGAGGGCATGTAAATCACGCTGCCAACCTTGAGATAAACATCTGCTGGAGTGATTGTGGGGGCTGTGGCAGAGCAGAAGGAGCTTTCTCACCCAGCTTATAGAACCCGAGAATTCTCGGCCGGAAGAGGTCTAAGAGGGACTCTAGTCTAGGAATCGAGATCTGAACCCAGCTCCTGGTCCCTCAGCCACCATAACCCACTAAAACTGGGGAGGTGGGAGAGGACTGGCTGTCCAAGGCAGTCCTGTTAGAAAGATGAAAAGCACTTGGAGCACTTGATCCTTGTGTACTGCCTAGTAAAGGAAAACGGGTGGGGCCGGGCGGGGCCAGCAGGGAATGGTAGGGAATGAGCTGTCTTCTGGACCGGAGACTGCAGCCCAGGCCGGGAAGAGCTGTCTCCAGGCCTCACCTCTGACCCCTTGGGCTGTGACTCTGGCTCCCCAGAGGGAGGGGAGTTCCCTATGCCAATAAATACAGGTCCAACAACAGTCCCTCTAAGAAACCAAACTGTGGCGAATGTTGTTAGTTCTGTTTGTTTGTTTGTTTGTTTGACTGCTGGCTTTTCTTCCTGGAGCTGGTCCTTATGTTTTTGTTTCCTGGTTGGCTCAGCCTAGCTGGGGAAGGTGGGCGGGGGATGTTCTGACATCTTGTGTTTCACTGATAGTCACTTTAGTATCTTTGAAATCACGTTTTTCAGTTGTGTCCAACTCTTCATGACCCCATGAGAGGTTGTCTTGGCAGAGATACTGGAGGGGTATGCCGTGTCCTTCTTCAGCTCATTTGACAGATGAGGAAACTGAGGCACACAGGCTTGAGTGACTTGCCCAGGGTCACACAGCCAGAAAATGTCTGACGCCAGATTTGATGAGCCATCCTGACTCCGGACCTGGTGCTCTATCCACTGCACCACCTAGCTGAAATTTAAAAAAAGAGTAATCGTCCAAATAGTGCCTTATATACGCTATCTCACTTGAACCTCATAACAGCCCTAGGAGATATTATTATCCCCCTTTTGCATATAAGGAACCTGAAGCAGGCCAGGTCAGTGACTTGCCCAGGGTCAGAGGGCTAAACTCAGCTCTTCCTGACTTTGGCCTCTCATTCTAACCGCTACACCACCCAGCTGTACTTGTCCAGGCGGATCTTGGTAGGAGGGAAGGGCTTACATTCTGGCCATCTGTTCAGGGAGCCGATGGGAGGTCTGTTCTGAAACAATGTTTTCTTTTTTGACAGTGGACAGAGGATTGCAGAAAATCCACCTACCCTCCTTCTGGGCCCACGTGAGTAAAGCAGCGCTGTCTTTGGTCTTTGTGTGATTTCCCCTCTCGTGGCAGAGGGAGTCGGGAATGGGCCTTGCAGTCAGGAGGGCCGGGCTTCCCAGGCTGCCTCACATTTTGAGCTGTGAACCGCTCTTTGCCCTAAGTCCCTCCTCTGTAAAATGAGGGGAATGGGCTCCGGGGTCTCCGAGGTCAGGCTCCAAATACCTGATCCTGTGAATCTTGGGGTCCTGTCACTGATCCATGCCCCAGATATCTCAGGGAAAGGAAACGGTGTTAGCAAGGAAGGCCTATTTCCCCATCCACACTTGAGAGCGAGCACCCTTCCGTCCATTCTAGAACAAGAGCCAGAGCACAATGCCTGATGGTGACGGCAGGAATTGGAAAAACCCACCCGATGCTCATTTCCGGGCCTGGCCAGGGCATGGGGCCTGCAGGCAGTGAGGGGAGCCCCAGCCAGAGCAGAAGAGGGCCATTGGGGGGTCTGTGCATTCAGCAGTGGGGTGGCAGGGGAGGGCCAGGCCTCCCTCCCTGGTGTCTCACACAGGAGCCTCATTGCCCACCTGGGCCCAGGCTTGTGGATTGCGAGCAACAAGGCGCCATCCCTTCCCTTCATCTCTGCATCCCTCTTGGCATACTCTCAGGTCACAGGAAACCCTGGCTGTAGCCGCTGGCAGACCCTGCCCCAGTGGGAGTGGGCTGGAATCAGCCTTCACGCCCTGCAGAGAAATCGCCATCACCTCCTGGACAGGCTGCCATGCAGAGGGGGTCAGTCACCTTGCGGAGGGTCCCGTACCAGGCCCTGGTGGGGCTTGCCAAAGAGGTGGCCCTCTAGCACACGATCAGGGCAGGGGAGGCCTCAGAAGAGCGAGGTGTGAGAGCTGAGGGGAATCGGGGGGGATTCCTGGAGGAGGAGGGCTTTCGATGGTGAGCAGCAAGTCCCAGGCTAATACGGGATGGCCCGGTGAGCGGGCAGCAGCCAGCTTATGGTCACCTCGTTCCCCTGTCCCCTTGTGTGGGCCAGCTTCCCCAGGACCCCCTCCGTCTTGGGCTTCAACGTTCTCTAAATGGTCAAAAACTGATGGGCTCTCTGATCAGGGGATGGCTATGACCAGGCCAGTACACGGGACAAGTTTTCTATTAACAGTGTGAAGGATGGGATGGAGGCACTGAGCTCAGCGCCTGGCACCGAGTAGGCACTTAGTGAGTGACTGGGGCGGGCAGAGCGGAGGAGCGATCTTCTCCTGCCGCATCTGCCTGCCCGAGGATGCCGCTTCGGAAGCTGAGAGGAAGGGGCAGACAGACAGACATCCTAGGCCAAGGCAGCAGCCCTTTGCCAAAACAAATTCGATCTGAGAAGGGCAGGGAGCAGAGGGAGGGCAAGGGCAGAGGCAGAGGCCGTGCCTGGCTTCTAAATGTGGAAGCCCTGTGAACAGAGAGGCCACAGATGGGGACGGTGACAGCAGGATGCAGGAGCAGGGCTCGGGGAGAGCTCGGTTTAAGACACGAGAATGTAGGCTCCGGAAGGTGCCTGAGAGACCAGCTCAGCGCGGAACATCCAGGTGGGGACACCCCGTAGACGGGCGAGGCGCCGAGGGAGGGGGCCGACCTGGGCAGGCAGGGAACCCCGTTCCCTCCAATGAGGTGAAGCTCGGGGAATGAACGAGATTGCCAAGGGAGGGGGTAGAGAAGAGCTCGGGGGATGGGCGGTCTCTTAGGAGCCAGTCCTGCGTGACAGGGACGGTCCCCACACGTCACAAAGTTACGTGGGTCGCCGGCCTCCCCGTATGGTGCGGCTTAACGCCACATTCCCTGAACTTAAGGCTGAGCCAGGGCTCATCAGTTACTGAAGCTGCAGCCTCTTTCTTGTTAATCAGTTCGTCAGAGCTCTCACTCCATTTCATCAAATTATTATTATTAATATGACCAGATGTATTAAAATAAGTGACTATATGACTTGTTAACAGTGAAATCAATGATAAAACAGCAGGTGTGGACGATATTTTGGCCGTGAGATGACCGCAGCCAGAGTCCCCTCTGGTGATTCTGTTATGGCGTCTTCACGCCTCAGAATGGTTCTGCACAACCTTCTTCATTCAGGACGACAAGCAAAGTCCTGGAGGAATTCTCTTTGTCCTCTTTAGCAAATTAAGCTTAGTTAGAGCAGTTCTATCTGGAAAGAAGGCCTCTCTCTCATTCCTTGGTGGGGTTTTGTTTTTTTCTGTCTTCTCTAACCTTGACAGGTTTTTCTCCAGCCACCACACAGTCTTTCCAAACTGACAGTTAAAAGCCTCCTGTACTAGCTCTGGGAATGAGGTGAGGGTCCATTTGGCTGCTCTGTCTCATTACCCTGTTCTAGGGAAGACAAGGGCAATTGCAGTTGCAAGAGAGCAGGGGCCTTACCCCCGGGGAAAGAGCTGAGCACAGACCAGGAGGGCAGTGACCAGACCTCTCCCTGGATCACGGCACATTAGAAGCAACAAAAAGTTATAGGCCCCTAGACTGTGCCACAAAGCGGCAACAGCTCAGGCCAGACATCCCCCAGATGTGAGCAGAGCCCAATACTCACAAAACGCAAAGTCAATAAGCAGGCTGGAAGAGTGAGCAGACAAAGAACCCAGTCGTGAAGAGCTACTCTGGGGAAACTTCAAGACACAGACTCAGAAGACAATAACTTGAAACCATCTACGGGCAAAGCCTCAAAGAAAAATGCAGATTGGAGACATACCCAGCAAGAATTCCTAGAAGAGCTGAATAAAGAGATAAAGAGGGGAAATCATTGTAAATATCAACTAAGAACATGAGGAAAATAAGAACAAGATGAAAAATTGGGAAAAGAAAACTATGTTAAAAATTATGAAAAGAGAACAGCTTGGTAAAAGGGACAAATACTAAAGAAAATAATTTCTTAAAAATCAGAGTTTGCCAAATGATAAAAGAGGTACCAAAAAATACTGAAGAAAATAAGCCCTTAAAAATTAGAATAGGTCAAATGGAAGCCAATGACTTCATGAGACATTAAGAAACAATAACAAAGTCAAAGACTGAAAAAATAGGGGGGGTAAATGTGAAATATTCCCTAGAAGAAACAACTGACCTGGAAAATAGATTGAAGACAAATAATTTAAGAATTTTTGGACTACCTGAAAGCCAGGATCAAAACAAGAGCCTTAACATCATATTTCAGGAAATTATAAAAGGAAACAGCCCAGATATCATACAACCAGGGAGCAAAGTAGAAATTAAAGGAATCCACCGGTCACCTGAAAGAGATCCTAAAATGAAAATTCCAGGAATATTATAGCCAAATTCCAGAGCTCCCAGGTCAAAGAGAAAATACTGCAAGCAGCCAGACAGAAAGCATTCAAGTACTGTGGAGCCAGAGTCAGGATCACACAAGATTTAGCAGCTACCACATTAAAGGAGCAGAGAGCTTGGAATATGATATTTAGAAGGCAAATGAGGTAGGATTACAACCAAGAATAACCTGTCCATCAAAATTGAGTATAATCTTTCAGGGAAGAAAATGGACATTTAATAAAAAAGAAAATTTTCAAGTATTCCTGATGAATACAAAAGTTGACATTCAAACACGAAACATAACCCCTCAGAATTTCTATCATCATGGCAGTTAGAAAGAGTCTATATGGAAAGATAACATAGGTATGAATGTATGAGGTTGGGATGATCTCAAAAGAATGAAAGAGTGAGAAGGAAGGATTCACTGGGAGAAAGAGGAAGGGAGAGGAAGAATGGGGGACATCTTACATAAAAGAGGCTTGTGAGGAAGAATTTGTACAATGGAAGGTACAGTGGTGGGGGGAGTAGGGGACAACGTTTGAATTCCATCCTCATCTGAACAGGTTTTCAGAGATGGAAGAACAGACACACACACACACACACACACACACACATGGAAGTAGGAGGGGGATGGGCTCAGAGAAAGGTTGGGGGCTGAGAGGGAGGATGGATTAAAGGAGGCAGTGGTCAGAAACAAAACAGTCGTTTTACACAGTTAGCAATCATAACTCTGGATGTGAATGGGATGAGTGGACACAGGTAGCAGAAGGGGCCAGAAATCAAAATTCCATAATATGTTGTTTACAAGAAACATACTTGAAACAGACAGACACAGTAGAGTTAAAATAAGGGGCTAGAGTAGAATCTTCTGTGTTTCAGCTGAAGTAAAGAAGGCACAGGTAGCAATCATGATCTCAGGCAAAGCACAAGCAAAAATAGATCTGATTAAAGGAGATGATCAGGGAAACTGTATTTTGCTAAAAGGTACCATAGACAATTAATTAATATCAGTACTGAATATGTATGCACCAAATGGCATAGCATCCAAATTCTTGAAGGAAAAGTTAGATGAATTACTGGAGGAAATAGAGAGTGAAACTATACTAGTGGAGGACCTCAATTTACCCCTCTCAGATGTAGATAAATCTAAACATAAAACAAACAAGAAATCACGTACCCATTTTAACCTTCTCTTGGTGTATTTGGTATGAGATAGTGGTCTGTACCTAGTTTCTGCCACACTGCTTTCCAGTTTTCCCAGAAATGTTTGTCAGATAGACTTGTCATTTTTATTATATTGGCTCAGTCTACCCATGAGCAATTAATATTTCTCCAGTTTAGTTCTGTCTTTATTTGTTTTATTCAGTTAACTTTTATAGCTTCATATACTTTTGTTGCTTTTTCCCAATATATTTTTATTTCATTAAATCTCAATTACATTTAAAAAAATCTGACATTCATTTTTTCAGATTTTGAGTTCCATATTCTCTCCTTCCCTCCCCCCAGCCCCCTCCTTGAGAAGGCAAGCACTTTGATCTAGATTACACATCTGAGGTCATGCAAAACATTTTCATGTTGACCATGGTGCAAAAGAAAGCACAGACTGAAAAAAAAAACAAGAAAAATAAAGTTTACAAAGTATGCTTTGATCTGCATTCAGACTCTGTCAGTCTTTTTCAGGAGCTGAATCGAGTTCTTCATCTTGGAATTGTCTTGGTTCATTATATTCGTCAGAGTAGCTCAGCCATTCATGGTGAATCGCTGTACAACACTGCTGTTACTACATGCAGTACTTTCCTGGCTCTGCTCGCTTCTCTTTGCATGCATCCTTGGACTTTAATGAGTGATTCGTGTGCTTCTGTTGCAGGTACAGAGGTCCGGTGCCGTGGTACACCATCAATCTTGACTTACCCCCGTACAAGCGATGGCACGAGGTCATCACAGACATGTCACCAGGGGTATGAGAGAACCTTCCGCTTCTCCCTAACAGCCTTGTATATAATTTTCTAAACAAAATGTAACATTGCGTTAACTTGTTTATTAACTATTTGAAGAATCCTTTTTCCTGGGGGGCGGGGCACCATAGTTCCATCGTTTACTCACCCATTCTTGATCTATTGTTTTAAGTCAGGCTTTCTGGAGGGCCTGGCTCGGGCCACGCCTCACACTTGGCAAGAGACTCAGGGCTGGCCGTCTTTTTGAGGAGTAAATCTCCTTTCCTTTGCAGTTATTACATCATCAAGTGTTACTGGCTTTGCCCAGATGAGGGCAAAGAGATTTCAGAGAAGGGGGAGACTGTTTGGAGGAAAGGGGTAGGTGGGGTTTTGTAGGAAGAGAGAATTGGTTGAGCCTTGGCCCCCAGGAGGCCCAGTGGAACAAGCACTTGACTTGGTGTCAGAGATGGACCGGGGTTTAGGCAGGCCTTGGTGCTTATGACCTGGGTCACCTTTCTGGGGTCTCAGTTACCCCATGTAAAAAGCAGGGGCCTGCTCGAGACCTGCGCCTGTGCCCCCTCGTGGGGTCGGGGCACGGGACGGCCCACAAGCCCCGTGGCTGTGGCCTCTGTGAGCTGTTCATGTCATCACTGTGGAGAAATTCCCAGAGAAGTGGGGTTGTCCTTTCCTCCATGGAGTGGGATATTTGTGACAAAGATGCTGGTCCTTCCTCTGCCTCTGATGCCCTGCGGGCCCACTCATGCTTCAGACAGCCTTCTGTGCCCGCACTGCCCTCACAGTGTAGCCCAGGGTGCCTGCCAGGGCCTAAGCTGTTCCCGGCCCACCCAGCCAGCAGTGACCTTGACTGAGGGTGTCATGAGACCGTTACGTTGCTCTTTAATTGTTTCTAGTATTTGGATAAGAGGCTCTCTGGTCCAAACTCTGCATTTTACAGATGAGGAAACTGAGGCCCTGGGGAGGAAGGGCTGTGAATAAGGTCAGGCCAGGAGTAAGGGTCAGGGCGGGGATGGGAAGCCAAGTGCTCTGACTCCTGGTCTGGGGCTCCTTGACCCGGAGCACAGTAGGAGATTGGGTCCTTTCCTTGGGGTTCAAGGTAGGGCCCTGCCCCCTTGGGAACTGTGCCTTTGCGGGGTCCCTTCACCTCCACGAGCTCTTGTTTTCTCAATTGTCTGATCAGCGGGCCTGCTGGCGCCCAGCTCGCCCACCCTGGCACTGGTGGGTCTGCGGATCAAATAAGAGACCCGTGTGAGTAGCTCTGGAGCATCAGCAGCCCTTGGCGGATGTCAGGGGCTTCCCGATACTTCTGTCCAGGCTTGGCCCCAGCCTACCACTTGGGTTTCCTTTACAGTGCTTAGCACCGTGCTAGGCACACAGTAAACAAAGACGAGGTTACCGGATGGCCCCGGTGCCGCAGGGAGGCCTTCCCAAGACCAGCCGGCTTCTTGGCCGGCTCTTGCCCGTCTGACTGGCCCTCCGCCCTCTCTGATCGTGTTCTGTGTCAGGAGAAAAGACGTAAAAATAATCTGTGAAATGGAATTTTAAAGACCCAGTTAGGTTTCAGCGAGCTTGTCTGGCACAGGAAATCATGTCGAGATACAAATCATAATTTAATTATCTGTAGTTCAGTCCGAAAACCACGCTGGACTTGGAGGCAAAGCTCCTGGCTTTGGAGCCGATGGCTTTCCTTCTGAACCTCAGTTTGCCCATCTGTAAAATGGCTCTAAGTCCCTGATGCTCTCATTGCCTCTTATCCTGGTGACCATTGACGCGGCTGGGGTCAGCGCACTGAGATTTGTGCCGCCTCCTTCCTGACGGCTGTTTGTTTCTCATCCCAGTTACGTAACATTGTGCAGAACGTGAAGAACATGATCAATGCTTTCTCTCCTAGTGGGAAAGTTATGAAGATGGTGGATGAGCGCTTGGTAAGGCTCTTTGATGTCCACGGCAATCGTTATGGGTGCAAGTAGGGGTGCATTTCTACGCGGGGGGATGGGTGGTGTCTGTGGTTCGCTTCTCCTGGGCTGGGGGCAAGATGGAAGAGGGAGGCAGAGGCCAAACTCCGGGGACGGGGGTGGGGGTGAGCACCATTAGGACGCCATTCTACCTCACACCCAATGCAACCCCATTACCTCTTGGCCCCCCGGACATTCCATTGCGCTGGCTCGCATCGCCCTCTCCACTCCAAACCCTGCTTTTGTTCTACTGGACTTAAACTCAAGGTGTCCTTCGGTCACCTGCACCTTCCCATTCCTCAGCTCCCCAGCCTTCCCCCTCCATCCCCCCTGCTGCCCCCAGGATAGACCCCGTCGCTCTCACATGGCCCTGATGAGTCTTTCCCTCCATGATGGAGAACCCTGGAAGGTCTCGGTGTAAGCCTGCGGCTACGAGGGCACTTGTGGCCCTCTGGGTCCTCAGGACTGGCCCTCTGAATCCCAACTTCACAGAACAGATCCCCTAAATGAAATGATTTGTTCTGTAAAGCTTGGACTCAAAGGCCACCCAAGGAACTAGAAGGTCCTGAGCCTTCCCTGCCACCATGGTGGGCTATTCCTCCTCACTGGTCCCTCCAGGCACTCCACCCATCCGTCAGTATTCAGCCCCCAGGCTACATGACCCCACCTCACTGCTCCTCGGTTCTCAGGCTCCATCCTGTGGTTCACCAGGTCACTCTACCCATTCCTCTGCTCTCAAGTCCTCTACCCTCCCCTGGCCTTCGGTGGATGCTTGTGCCTTGCCAGACCTCAGCCCTGGCTTGTTCTCATCATCTGCTCCACCCCCTCTACTCACAGGCTGCCAGATAGAGCTAGAGGAACTCATCCCAATGTGCCAGGGAGGTCCCCTGTGAATGGATGGTGTCTGGTCTCCACTGGGCCCGCCCTCTGCACAACAGCGCTCCCCTTATTTCCCACAGTGGCGGTTCTAGACCTTCCCTTCTCTCCTTGAGCATCCCAGGGTATCCCCTCGCCCCAGCCCTAAACGAGGCCCTCGCCTCTTTCTTTGCTGAGAAAACAGACTTTTGTGGGTGAGGGCTTTCCTCCTCTGTACACTTCCAAACCCTCAGCATCATCCACCATGTCTCCTTCCCTTCCGTGCCTGATGAGGAAAGAGGCGGCCTTCTCCCTGCCCGTGGCCCCGTCTCCAGGCCAGGGCCATCCCCTCTCACCCCTTCTCCAGCAGATTGTCCCCACCACCATCCCTCTCTCTCCAGGCTCTCCCCGTCCCCCCTCACAATTGTTACCCCGACTTTGGAAGAAGCTCAGTGCTGTCCCATTCTCATGTTCTTAAGAGCGCAAGGCATCAAAACCAACATTTCTTTTTTAAATTTATTTTTATGTAAATAGTATTTTATTTTTTCCAATTACATGTAAGGATAGTTTTCAACATTCATTTTTTATAAGATTTTCAGTTTCAAATTTCTTCTACCTCCCCTCCCCCCCTCCAAGATGGCAACCAATCTGATGTAGGTTATACATGTCTCACATTAGACATATTGTGAAAGAAGAGACAGAACAAAAGAAAAAAACCACAAAAACAAAGGAAACGCAAATAGCATGCTTCCATCTGCATTCAGATTCCACTGTTCTTTCTCTGGATGTGGAGAGCATTTTCCATCACGAGGCCTTTGGAGATGTCTTAGACCCTTGTATTGCTGAGAAGGGCTATGTCTATCAACACTAGTCATCGCACAACATGGCTGTCACTGTGTACAACGTTCTCCTGGTTCTGCTCACTTCCCTCAGCATCAGACCATACAAGTCTTTCCAGGCTCTCCTGAAGTCGGCCCGCTCATCATTTCTTAGAGCACAATAGTATTCCATTACGTTCTGATACCACGGCTTGTTCCGCCATTCCCCAGCTGATGGGCATCCTCTCCATTTCCAATTCAAAACCAACATTTCAACAGAAAACCTGCCGGGAGCTTAAGAGCAGCTGACTATTCAGCGTTTCCCCTACTGTCCCAGGGACAGTCTGGGATTTCTGCGCCTTTTCCCCGCGTCTCACTTTAGAATGAAGATCGCTACTGTGTTTTATGTGGGGACAACACTGAGCATGGCCTGATGCTGTCTCTGCTCTCTGAATTTCAGCCCAGCCTGCTTGGCAACCTTCCCTGGCCCTTCGAGGAGGAGATGAAGGGGATTGCAGACGTGTCAGGAGTCCCCCTAGGTAACCTGCGGGGAGGGGGCGGGGGCCGGGACCAGGGGAGGGAGAGGGAAAGGGGTTCTTCTGGTTGTCTCAGTATTTTAGAATCCACCATGTTCTAGAGGAATGTTTACATGATGCTTTATAAATTAATAAAGGAGGATACAGGAAGAATTGTTGAGAAATCGAGGCCATCTCCTCCCTAGCCGAGACCCCCCTTATCTACATGCCCAACAAGGGGCAGGCAGGTCTGTCCTCATACTGCCTGTGACAGGGAGCTCACTACCCGACTTTGAGTAGGCAGCTTTTCTGGCTTCAAACCTCCCTTTGCCTTCACATCCTCCCCCCACTGCCCTCAGGGGTCCCTCCGCAGCTCCAGCCCCTCTGGTCTTCATCTTTTCAGGCCATGTGCATCCCTGTGGTCCCTGCACTCAGTGCTTACAGGTGGCATGTCCTGGGGGTTCCCTCTCTGGGGGCTTTCCGGGTCTGACCTGTGAGCAGGGCTGGGGCCAAGAGCCCCTCCCCCCCACCTCCTTAGCGCTGGACACTTCCTCTGAGGTGGTGCTGCAGGGGAAGGGGTCACGTCTGTGCCTGTCTGAGGGTATCTTGTGAGATTCTGCCTGATATCTCTTTGGATCCTGTGTCTGACTTCTCTCTGCTCCGTGGGCATCATCCACACCTCGATGGGGTCTGGATCCAAATGTTGAGATGGCACATGTCCCTGGGCCCTCCGGGGATACCTCCCAAGCTGACATTGAACCATTAGTGACAGCTCTTTGGCTTCCTTCCATCCCCACCTGTCTGTGCTCTCTCACTCCTACGTCTCTCCATCCATCCCATGAGAGACTGTCCAAAAGTGTGGCTGAAATTGCGGTTGAGCTCAGCACGGGGAGACAGACAGACAGAGAAATCTTCAGACACTGGAGCCGGGTCAGACCATGAGCAGGTCACGTGCCAGGAGAGGCTGGATGCCAGGGCAAGAGGAGATCTCAGGCTCTTACTGGAGCACCTCCAGAGCCACCCCAGGGCACTGCAACAGGGACAGGTGTGAACTAAAAGCGTCATCACCGGCCACCCAGTTCTAGATCCCAGATCCAGGGAGGACCGAGAAAGGGACTGACCGTGCAGGGGAGCTGCATTCCCAGGAGGGAGGCCCAGGCAGCGTACAGACAGGAGTTCAGAACTCGCAGCAGCAGCAGCAGCAGTGGGGCTCAAAGCCCAGGCGCAGAGCAGGGTCTCACTCCCCACGTCTAGCGAGCCCTCAGAGGAGTAACCAGGGTGGGGGCCGCAGGGGAGCTCAGAATTCGGCCACTGAACCAGCAGAGTTTTCCAGCCGGCTGACAGGGGTAGAGTTCAGCAGTATCTGCTTGTGCTCAGACCAGAGGGCAGCAATCTGCCCTGGATCAGACTGTTTTGGGGGCACCAAAAGCTTGAAGGTCCTGAGAACTTGCAATAACACAACACTCAGCACCCCAAGGAAGATGCAACAGGACCAGACAGCCCTTCCCTCCAGATGTGCCACAAAGCCCAGCCTCACACCAAGTCCCTGGGAGAATGGGCAGACCACAAAAGAATCCCACCCTCCTGAGATATTGGGGGGGGGGGGTCTCTGAAGACACAAATACAGAAGAGAATGACTCCAAAATATCTCCAAGCAAAGCCTCAGAGGAAAGCACAGCGGAGATTCTGCACTGGAATGCTTGGGAAAGATGAAGCAAGCAAGAGTTAAACATGTTTGTCTAAATGGAATGAGCGTTTGAGAAAAAAATTGGAGAAGAAAACTATGGCAGAAAGAACTGGAAAGGGAATCAAGACTTAACACAGGAGGTACAAAACCTGCCCGAGCAACAAAACTTCCTGAGAATGAGAGTGGACCAGAAGGAAGCCAATGACTCCATGAGGCAACCAGAAACATTAAAGCAAAGTCACGAGGCTGAAGAATTAGAAGACGGTAAAGCCAAATGACCCAGAAAGCAGATCGAGAAGAATAAAATTAAGAATCGTTGGACCCTGTGCATGCCACGACCAAAAAGGAGGCTAGTTGTCCTATTCCAAGAACTCTTCACAGAGAAGGGCCCGGATCTCTTAGAATAGGAGGGCAGAGTAGAAGCAGAGCCGTGCTTTGTTTAGCCATCCTCCGCCGAGGGCCTCCACCCTCCCCAGCACCAAGGAGCCGCTGTGGGTAGCTGGGCCGTCTGGCTGGGTCCTTTGCCCTCTGGGGCATGGGGTCCCCGGGTCAGGGGGTCTGCGCACCCTCCATCTCTGGTCTGTTTACTAACCTAGTGTGTGCCTTGTTCCCTTCAGGTGAGGTCCTTTCTTTCAACATTTTCTACGAACTCTTCACTATCTGTACATCCATCATAGCAGAAGATAAGAAAGGTAAAAGATGGTATTGGGTGCTGAGTGGGGAGGGAGCTAGGCCTGACTGTAGACGTGGCCTTCCCATTTTGGCCTCCCCCGCCTCGCAGACTCTTCATAGATGGCAGACCTTTGAGGCCGTGGCTAAAGCCTGGTGTGCTCAGACTTCCACAGGCTTCCAGTCACTTACATTAGTCCAGCAGTGAGGCCTTTAGGATCTCTCCAACCCTGACATGGCGCCCCCAACCACCCCAGACCCACGAAGATCATTGAGGCATCTGCCGCTTGCCATTCCAGCCCTCTGCCATGTATGGTGTCCTCCTTTCTTTCCCCTCACCTTTACCTCGTGCTCCAACAGCAAAGACAGCCCTCGAGACTCTGGAGTCATTGACCCCTGCACGATGGCCTTCCACCTCTGCCTCCCTCCTCAGGAAAGGGCTGGCTGCCGTCTTGGGCAGGGACAGCGCCATGATGGATGATGGGGCCATCTCCTTCCCCTCCTCATTCAGAACTTCCTAAGTCCTTGGTCCTCTCCAAAGCCAGATGTAGCACCTAAGAGACACGACCACAGCAGTGTGGCTAGCTTGACCGGGCACCTGCCCACACTAGCCAGCTGATGGAAAGGGAAAGACAGGGGCTGTCATGGGTTCTAACCCTCACTTCTTCCCTCTTTTCTTTCCTGAGGTCATTTGTTCCATGTTAGAAATATGGATTTTGGTGTCTTTCTTGGGTAAGTAAAGAAGGCAATGCCCAGGCTGGCCTGACCACAGGCCAGGCACAAGGGCTGTATTTATGGCCATTTAGGTGACCAGGTGTCTGATGTGAGGGTGGAAGGCAGACCCAACCTGATCCTGAAGTCCGTGGATGACGAAGGCGTCAGGCCTCACTTAGCCTGAGGCATCAGGGAAGGGGCCCCAGAGACAGGCCTCGGGGGAGGCAAGAGAAGCGGGGCGGGGAGTAGCTGTGAGAGACAAGCGATCGAGCAGGGAGGAAGATGTAGGTAGACCAGACAGGCCCCGGCGTCCCCTGGATGTTCCCACCAAGAAGTCCCAGCGTTGGCCTGTAAGGGGACAGTGACAACCCCCAACCCACCCTGTGCCAAAGCCTGGGAATATCTCAGGGATGGAGACATCCTTCCTTGTGGCCGTACCGCCAGCCTGGCCCTTCCCTTGGCATGCCAGGCACACGTACATGGGTCTTTGCAGGTGGAACATGAACAATAATTCCTGGACTGTGACGGAAAACCTGAAGCCGATAACGGTGAATCTGGATTTCCAGAAGAACAATCAGACGGTCTTCAAAGCCACCTCGTTTGCAGGCTACGTGGGCACGCTGACAGGCATGAAGCCAGTGAGGAGCCTCTATTTCTGGGCTTTGGGGTGGCACCACCAGCGGCCTCATGGCTGCGGCGGCTTTGGGAAGGAGAAGGTGGGCCGGGAGTGAAGCGGTCGGCCTGGGGGTGGTCCGACGGTGTGGGAGCCCGGCACAGATTTGCTGGGTCAGGCCCCGGTTCTGCCCCTGCATCCGGCACCAGGACTGCTGGTCTGACAGAAAGAACAGCGGTCCTCAGTGCTGCTCTGTCCACGTTTCTCCCAGGGAACCTTCAGCCTGACCCTGAATGAGCGCTTCAATGCCAACGGGGGCTTCCTGGGTGAGGAGCAGCTTCTCGGGCCTCCTGGATGGGGGTTGGGGGGCCGGGCTCTTCAGAAGACCCCGAAGCCATCCATGCGTGTGTCCCCTCTCTCCCAGGCATCATAGAGTGGATGTTGGGCAGAAGAGAAGCCACGTGGATAGGGTTCCTTATGAGAAACGTGCTGGAGAACGCCACAAGGTAATGCATCGTGCGTAGCGGCCCCAGGCTGACGCTAAGATGCTCAGGTTCTAACCTGTGGCCTCCTCCGTCTGTCATGGAGGCCCCGAGGCCCCCGGGACTGCCCCGGGACAGCAGGCCTGTGGACAGTGGCGGGGAGGAGGAGGAGGAGGGCAGCACTTTGGGTTCTGAGTTCTAACAAGGGCTCAAGGCCTCCTCTCCTGGCTAGGAAGGCTCCCCGCTCCTGGAGACCTGGCATGTGGGAGGGCGGGCAGCTGCTGCTGTCTCTGCTATGTGGAGGCTTAGATTGGGGGTTCAGAGGGAAAGGGGGAGGGAGGGCCAGAGCCAAGATTTACCGCCTGGCTTCTCCCGTCACGTGTGCCTTGCGACTGCGTGAGATCAGAGCCCTCTTCTATAAAATGAGCGTAATGTCCCCTAGTGGACGACCCGCTCCACAGGGCTATGGTCAGGCACCAAGTGAGACTGGCACCTGTTTGGGGGAGCCCTTTGAGTGGGGTTGCAGAATTCTCAGCAGTCCCTGGGTGGTCTTTATCACAGGCCCATCAGGGAGTTCTGGCTCTGGGGAGGTGTCTCCTTTTTACATTAATCCAGAAATGACCCTCAGACACCGACGTGCACTCTGACTGCTGCTTTGGGCCACTCCCAGCCCAGAACCCCCAGACTCAGCCCCCAGATCAGTGCCCTCCCGGGGGGGGGGGGGCGAGGGCGGCCCTCGGGCCTGGTTCTGCTCTCTCTGTCTCCCCATTCTGCCTAAGTCTGGGACGCTCCTGGGGGCCACAGACCATAGACGCCATCCCTAATGATAAAGGCCTAAGGGAGAAGGGAAGCCCCTCGAGGGCAGGTGTCCTGGCACAGAGTCAGCACCTAACGAGCATGGGTAGAGTCTCACTTTGGCCTGTGCACAGCTACGAAGACGCCAAGAACCTACTCATCAAAACCACGATCCTGGCCCCGGCCTACTTCATCCTGGGGGGCAACAAGTCCGGGGAGGGCTGCGTGATCACTCGGGACCGAAAGGCCACCTTGGACGTCTACGAGTAAGCGTTTGGGGGCACGAAGGGAGTGGGCACGGGGTGGGGCGAGGCTCGGGGCTCTGTCTCTCCATCTGTTTGTCCATCTGTCTATCTGTCCATCTATCCGTCGGTCTGCCCATCCATCCGTCCTTCTGTCTGTCTGTCCATCTATCCGTCAGTCTGTCCGAACATCCATCTATCTGCCCGCAGGCTCAAGCCCAAGGAGGGCAGGTGGTTCTTGGTGGAGACCAACTATGACCGCTGGAAAAGCCCCTTCTTCATGGATGACCGGAGGAAGCCCGCCACCCTCTGCTTAAACCAAACCACACAAGAGGTGAGTCTGCAGGGCTTTAGGCCGAGACGGCAAAGAGAAGCCATTAGTGGGCACCTACCTTATGCTTTGGGCTCTGGCTTCTGTGTGAAGAGGGGAGAGCGGGGCTGGGGCCCAGCGCAGGGGAGGGGTCAGAAGTCGGGTTTGGGGAGAAAAAATGTGGCCGAATTTGGGAGAAACAGAGGAAAGCTGGAAGGACAATCTCCAGGCCCCTCCTTCTGGGGAGAAAGTGGGGAGGCCGGGGGGCCAGAGGGAGCTGGAGAGGAGGGCAAGTCAGCGCAAGGGAACCAGAGGCAGAAGAGAGAGGCCATCAGGTGGGGAGGTGTGGGCCGGGCTGAAAGCCAAGGCGGACCTCCTGGAGGAGGGAGGGGCGTGGGAGCTGCCCCACCGGAAGAAGAGTCAGCGAGGGGGCCGGGGAGGTGGAGAAGGGCACGTTTGGCCCTGTTAGGATAATAGAGAAGGACCATGTGACCCCCCCCGGAGCCCCGGTGGAGAACAGCTGGATGTATGGAGCTTAACAGGGAATCAGAGGCTCTGCCTGGAGAGGAAGGGAAGGGGCCTGGCCTGCCAGGGTGAGGAGCGTCCAATGAGGACAGAGCAAGGGGGGGAGAGGATTCCCTGCTGTGGTGGGGTGCCTGCGAGGCACCTTAGTAGTCAGCCTGAGGAGAGGGGGTGGGGGGATTCCTTGCCGGGGAGGCACGTACTAGTCAGCCTGGTGACGTTGCTGGAGAGGTCCGTGGTGTCCGTAAAGGAGGCCCTCCTGACCCTTATCCAGACTTATCTTCTGAGTCACACGGGCCCAAATGTTGTTTGTCCTTCTCTATGAGGACCATGACATCAGGAGGGAGATCCCATGACTTGCAAGTGAATTGGGTTTAAGTGAGGCAGGGCTGTGTCACCAGCCTCACTCTCCCCTCCGGGGCCAGACATAGGGCAAGACCACTGCGATGGCCCCAGATGCAGTGGGATACCTGGGCCTTTTTTAAGCGAAGGTCTTTCCCAGGTCTCTTTGTCTGAGCCCGTTCAGGCATTTAAGGCTGGGTAAGAATGGAGGCAGAAGATGGTCTAGTTTGCGTCCCGGAAGAATCGGTCAGGGAGGGGAGGACCCTCAGAGTTTCTGGCCAGAACAGAAACATTCACTATTTACACTCAGTCTGAGCCATCAAAACCCAAACCATGAGCCTGGACCCAAATGACCCGCGGGAAGGAACTTCAGAAGTGTGACCGCCATCATCCCAAAATTGTGGGCACAAAGCTCAGGGCCATTGGGGCGCAGAAGAGAAAAGTTAATGTGGGGAGTGAGCCCCTGGCCGAGGAAGTGGTGTCTGAGAATGAGGTGGACAGCGTGGGGCAGACAGACGGCTCACCCGAGGGGCTGTGAACTAGAAAGGGGGAACAGAGAGAGACAGCCTGTCGTTACCCTGAGTTAGATACCATAAGAAAGGAAGCAGAGTCGCATTTGAGACGCCCGAAAGTTCACAGGAGACAAAGTCCAGGGAAGGAGCCGCCGGTAAAGTCCACGACCGTAAGCACCTGTGCACAGATGTCCAGATCTGAGGCAGCCAGAGGAGCCTCGGGTCCTAACCGAGGCGTGGGGGGATGGCACCCAGAAGATGGTGATGGGGAGGGCTTGATGGATGGTAAGAATGTGCAGGGGGCGTTCTCATGGGAGGAAAGCCGGGAAGCAGACACAGCGCGTTTGTGTGAAGGTCAGTGGAGGGAGAAACACGTGTGGTTTGTCACTGGCGCACACTAGAGACCACCTGGCCAGAAAGGATGTGCCTGGCGCATTTGGGAAACTGATGCCGTGCCTGGCAGAGGGAGAGGGGGGTCAGAGGATCAGGATGGGAATGTGCAGGCTGGCCTGAGTGGTCCGTGCCCACGATTGCTTTGTGCCCTGGGAGACTATGGACACCTGCAGAAGCTGGCTTCAGTCTGGGGAGATCGGGGGGGGGGGGGTCCCCCAGGGAGAATGGAGGGGGGGAGTTCAGGGCGGCAGGGAGGTTTTATCCTTGGCTCGAGCCTGTGGGTACAACGTTGGCACTTCTGGACGTTGTAAGTAATGAGAGGGCTCCTTCAGACTTCCAGGAGGCTGGGATCTGTCCTCCCGTGCCTGGAGGGACGGGACAGTGCTGGCTCTAGGTGCTGGCCTCCTCCCTCCTGACCCCCCCGTGCCAGCGTGGTTGGGTCTGTTGGTGAGGAGCGAGCCCTCGGGGCTCACCTGCTGACCTGGTGGGTCCCTGCCGGCTCTGAGCTGCCCCCTCAGGGGGTCAGGGCAGCCGCTGCCCCCTGCCTTCAAGATTCACCAACATGGTGCTTCTCTCCTAGAACATCTCGTTGGCCTCCTCCTATGACGTCCTGTCCACAAAACCAGTTCTAAACAAGGTAATTCTTGGCTGGGAATCCTCGCCGATATTCGCCTCTCCCCCTCAAGGTGGTCCGAGCTGAAGAATCGGGTGAGGGGCCGCTCTGGGTTAGGTGGCTTCATTCTTTGTGTGATGGAGAGACCGGTCACCGGGGTGTGACAAGCTGGTTTGTTGGGACCAACTGGGCAGGAATTGTTTTTAGTCTGTGCTCCGTAGGGTGGCGGCCGGCTGTTGCTGGCGGTCGCGTCCACATGGCCTGCAGGGGCTGGAGCTGCCGATGTTGATAAGAACGGCCATCCTGGGGGGTGGGGAGCACAACCATATAGCACTCACGGGGTGGGTGGGGAAGGGCTGAAGATGTGGGGGGTTTGGGGCTGTCTGGTGCCTCTGTCTATAGAGGGTCACATTGTGGATTCTAGAGAGGCAGCTTGGGGTGGTGGGCAAGCAGAGCTAGCCTGGAGTCAGGAAGAGCCCCCCTGGCTGTGTGACCCTGGGAAGGTCACTCGCCTCTCTGCCTGGCGGGGCTGGGGTGTGTCCTCATCCCTGGCCCCTGTTCCAAGGACACCTCATTGCAGCTGTGGGAGTGAGCAGGCTGCCCGGTCGGGGGCTTGCAATCTGAACCGGCCAACACAGTAAGGACACAAGTGGTGTTTCTTACAGCTCACTGTCTACACCGCACTGATCGACATTCCCAGTGACGTGTACGAGTCCTACCTGCGCGACTGCCCAGACCCTTGTATCGGCTGGTGAGGAGCGGGCGTCTGGACTGCAGCGGGATCTTGGGAGCTCTTGTGCCCCGCGACGAGGGGAGCTCTGTGCAGGCAGGCCCCAGGACCAGCTTCAGAAGGCGCCTAGGACCCCAGGCTCGTCCTCACTTCCTCGTGCTTGTTGACAATCTGGGGAGTTCACTCTAACACTGATCCTTTGTGATTCTTTCTGAACTTGCCAGTAATTGCTAGGAAAATGAAGCAGTCCTTTGGAATCCAAGTCGCCAGCCTCTCCTGAATGTGTGCCAGGCCTTACTCTTGGCTTAGGGCCCTCTGGTACCCTTGAATGGTGGGAGGGGGTCCCGCGGGCCAGGCCCATTCCACAGCCCCGCAGGATCCCGGTCAGCCCGTGGTCACACCGGAGCCCGGATGGTACCTGGAGGGATGTGGTCAGCCGAAAGAGACGGTCGGTTTTGGCTGAGTGACCACAGGCTTCTTTTTCTCCCTGATAAAATAAACACACTGTTGTGCAACACTGCCTTCTGTGGTTTTGTGGTGGGCCCTGGTGTGTGCATCCCCGTCCTCGGGTGTTTGTGTGTGCCTGTCCCCGGGTGTGTGCGTTCCTGTCCTTGGGCGTGCGTGTCCCCAAGGACCAGAGGTGCGTGGTGTGCAGTGATGGCCTTCTTCGTGGAGGAGGAGGGAATGTGGCATTGCGGAAGGTCCCTGCCGCCTGCAGGGACTGGCTGTTGTCTACACCAAAAGCTTAGCAGGCAAGATACTTTTATTCCAAAAATTCACCCGTCCCTTGTTTTCCTAGCTTTCAATATTAATGAGAAAGGTGTACACCGACTGAGGGCCTGTGTTTGTTAGGATGCTGGGTTCACAGCGGGCATTCAGGCAGCGCTGACGTTGTACTCATGTATGTGAGCGTGTTTGTGCGCGTGTGAGCGTGTGTGTGTGTGCGTGTCTTCTGTATTGAGGGAGAGCTGGTTCAAGTCCGGAGCAGGGGCTGGGGAAAGGGACGGGAATTCACGGAGGAGCATGGCTGTGATTGGGCAGCCCCCACCCCACCTCTGCCCCTAGCATCGCCCATTAGATGTAGACGTCCACATCCATGGTTGGCGCACCTCTCCCAGGGGCCTCCACTTTTGACAACGCCTGACTAGAGAGGAGAGGAGAGGAGAGGAGAGGAGCCCCAGTGCGGAGAGACAAGGATGTATTAGCACAGACAAAGATAACATGGCCCACTCACCTCCTTTTTGGGGGGACCCTGCACCCAGGGCAGCCGTGACTGTGGCCGGCCCGGTGACTGCTCACTTGGGACAGGACACATTCTGCCCTGCCAGTCCCCCGAGGTCCTGCGTGTCTACCACCAGTCCTTTGGAGTGACTGGCCATGCTCTCATGCTCGTGCCAGCCCCCGAGGTCCCGTGTGTCCACCTCCAGCCCTCTGGAGTGACCGGCCACGCTCTCATGC